GCCACTAGAGCTTCTACTACTAAAAATACATTCCATGTTTTTAGTTTTAGATCTGCTCAAACAAAGGCTTTTAGACTCCAATGTAGATCCCCATAATTCAAGTTTTTCTTGAACTTATTCTTGAGTCATATTTACAAGAAGCATATAATCACCAAAAAACGTACACCATGGTACATCCTCCTATAAATGACCTGTAAGAGCATCCATAATTAAAGCAAAAGGATATTGGCTTAAAGCTGATCCCTGATGTAATTCCACTGAAATAGCAAAAGACATGCACATGCAAACAATATAAATAATAAATCTCATTCTTATTTTATTTTCATAACATTAAGTACATAAAATAATAACATGAATTATGCAATAGACGCGACATCCAAAAATTAGTAACATGGAATTCAATATGATTAAATGAATTAAAAGAGCATGTAAAACTATATAAACAATTAACATATTGTATCAGATTTAGAAGAAATTAAATTATTACTATAATTTAAAAGTACAATTACTCACCTCGATCATAGACAATTTGTTTTTATCACTTCTTTCAAATTAACACTTATAAAATATAAATTATTCATGTTACTAAATTTTTAACACATTACTTAATTATATTTTAATTTAGTTATTATTTATTGTTTTATTAATTGTTTTAGTTAGGATTTCAATACTTAAACTTTAAATTTAATCATTGTAATTTATATTAGATATTTTTAATTTATATAAAATACTTTTGGAAATAAAACATTAACTTTTCTTGCCATCTTCAACCTTTTCTTGATCCAAAAGTGATACTTTTATAGCCTGAATCAGATGCACTTAAATTTAATATTTAAATAACAAACTTATATATATATATATAGAGAGTGTGACAGGGCTCTTGAATCTTCTGTTTTGGTGAGCCAATGCCTTGCTTAAGGGGATTGATTCTCAGACATTACCTCCTAAATACTCACCCAACCCGCAAGGGCATTGAAGTCCTTTTAGGATGGTTCACATTTCAGTACATTGAAGTCTTTTTAGGATAGTTCACAAGTCAGTGAGATACTCAAAGAGAGAGTAATACAAAGAAGTTTTACTTCTTAATCTTCAATACTACACCTAAATTAGCATTCACTGAAGAGTTCTAAAGGGGTCTTTAGGGAAAGAGAAGAAACATATTATGCTAAATAATTTATATATAATATTTAAAACTCACCTTTATATCTTCGATCGAAAGCCCTACTCACACAAAACTCGTTTTCCTCCTCTACGCATGATTTGACCTGCTCTATGCTACGCTTGAGCCTCCCACACTGTTGCCCTCGCCCCTAATATCGAATGCGTGGAAAATCCTTTGTCTGTGATTATCTCACGCCAAAATCATTCTTTCCTTTGAACCAGAGCTGCGAGCCGCTCGACGTTTTTGCCTACCCTCAATGAAAACTCCTTTGTTTGACAATCTAAAACGTTGTCGTCTATCGTTGCTACCGCCTTCGGCTACTGAGAAGCCCTAGCTTGTGCTTGTCAATCCTCTTGCTTTCGCCTCACATCGATTGCCTCCCCCGACAAGTCGTTAAGGTTAGGATTGCTTGTTTCCTCCCCTTTCCTTCGACTTCCTCTCTTGAACTACCTTGAGTAGTCGAAACGACGTGCACATTCAATAATTTTTAAATAACAAGCATAAAATTTATAAGTCCAAGTCACCTAGTCTGATTCTCCTCTTCTCCTTTTCTCCTTTTCATCAAGACTGGAGTCGATAAGACTAATATTTAATGATTTTAAGTTTACAGATATCAATTAAATTATGAACATTAATGTTTCTAAGTGTCCAAATCCCCGATGATGGGCGAATTGATTGAAGATTTTAATCGTAGCGGTCAATTCTTAAATCAAATATTTCAAATCAAGTTTTCAAAGTACCCAACCAAAACATTGAAGTTAAAAAAAAATCACCAAAATTTTAAGCAAATTTTCTCCATCTTCCATAATAGTTTATCGAAGGTGACAAACTTTTGATTGACTTTAGCTCATAAAAAGTGAATATCGCATCGATTTTATTATTTTATTCACACTCAAAACAATCTCATGCCATTAAGTATGTTGCCTGAGTCCTCTGTTCGTGTGGTATGACCCAATGACTCCATAAAAAGTAACAGTTATGATTAGAGCGCTCTGACCTTGTTGTTTGATGCCAAATGATACAATTAAATTATGATCACACTTGCAACCCATATGCTCCCAATAGTTTTCTATCATTTAACTTGTGAATTATAAAGGTACATTTGATTGACATTCAATTTTTTGTTAGCTAAGGTGGAATTAAATTTGTCTCTTTAGCCAAACATTTACCTCAGATCTACGAGGGCCTCTTGGACGATGCAACCCATGGTGGCTGACAAGAAATTCTTCAGTCAGGTTAGTTCTACCATCTCCTCTGACTAAATAGATTAGGGATCACGATGACTTGAGACGACATCATCATGGGATTTTGATCAGATTTCATTATCATTTTCTTCATTATTCACTTTAAGCTCTAGATGATAAATTTTATAACTTAAAATCTATGTTTGTTGCTACTATACACTATATATTTAGTAATTATTGACCAACCTTAATCAAAAGTGCTCTACCTTTATCGAGAGAGGTAATTAACCATAGAGCCTTGCGCCTATGGGAAATCTTGATCCCCATATCAAAAGCTTCTTACAAAATGACGGTGAAATCTTTGGATAGTGTCTCACCTACAATCTAATTTGTCTTATGAAAATTTTACTCGGAATATCAAAATAAATGCACCTAACACGAGAACGAGAGTCCGGAGCGTGAATTTTCAGAGCCCTCGCTTTTTTGCTAATCAAATCAATTCTCATTATTACTTAATTTAACAGTCGATGAGGACCAGGAAAAGCCGATAAGGATTTTTTCGTTGTTTAAGATTTTAAGAGATTGTCATAGATGTGCTCATCAAAGCATCAATATTTATCAATGAAAGTTTGAATTAGACATATAACATAGGCTGTTTGAATGATATTGACGCGGGGCTGTTGGGCTGGACCGATCAGTCCAGCATGTAGGTGTCAGTCTAGTAGGGAGGCTGAATCGGCCAGTCTTCTAATGGGTGAGAATTACCGCCCATTCTCCCCTCCCAATTTCCTATTATATTCCCTTCCATAGAGGGAACTCCCTTTCTCTTATATTCCTTGCCTTTTTCAATTCCCTTTCTTATTCTATTTCATTTCCTATTATATTCCCTTCCATAGAGGGAACTCCTTTCTCTTATATTCCTTGCCTTTTTCAATTCTCTTTCTTATTCTATTTCCTTCCTATTCTAATTTCTTCCTATTATAACTACTAGGATCTATTATATATATGTTGATTGTTTGCTTAGGGTTTGATTCTTGATTATTTGCTAATTTCAGATTTTTGCCTACCGACATTTCTCCCTTCTGACGGCTGTATCCAACGGCTAGAAGTTGCTCCAGCTGTAACTTGTCCGAGGTTGTGATGTTTCCTTCTTGTTTCCCTCTTCTCGCTGCCACCAAGTCCACTTGCCGCCTCAACCCTGCTGTTCCAGATTCCTCTTGCTAATCTTTAGCCTTGTTGTTCCAGTTTCCAGCCTAGGTCTGCAAACTCCCTCCATGCTGTTCCAGATTCCACCTGGTGATCTGCAGTCTTGCTGTTCTAGTTTCCTGTCGCCAATCTGCAGCTCGCCTCCCTGTTGTTCCTACGTCCACAAGCCGACTTGCAGCCCTGCTGTTCTTGCCCCCAGTCGTTGGCCTACAATCCGCCTTCTTGCTTCTTCTACATCCACCCACGGAATGACAGCCCTGTTGTCCACCTTTCAGTTACCGATCACCCTACCACCTCTCGCTCTGTGCCATCGTCAACCCCCAGCCTCGCCTCCGCTGTCCATGAATATCCCTATTCGACTAGTTTTGTTGTATTTTTATTTCTATTGGAGTCTCGCTTGTAACCCATACCGTTTTTCTTAGTAACATTTGTTTCCGTTGTCATGGTTTGAGTTAAATCCAGTATAAACTATGCTTCTTATTAGAAAACTAATTTATCTCATGTATGAATGACACTATTGATCATTCGTTCTCTGATTATCTTGTAGTGATGTACAAAGGGAATCTGATTTGAACACCAAAATTATAATTTTTATAATTTGATATTTGTTAGGTCTAGTATCATACATCTCGATGAGAACGTAAACTTTAGTTATACATGTTTGACTCAAGATAGATCTAGCAGAAGAATATCTTTGAGCACTTTATGATGAACTGCAACTGCAAAACCAGATATGTTGGTATTTTTTATGATGAGTTCATGATGTCCTTCCTTTTGTCTCTTTTGACTGTAGAGGATGGAAGCAAGGGATTTTGGCGGTGTCAGGGGCTTATATGTAGCAGAAATTATTTAGTAAAACTTTTATTTCAAAATTTCTAGTATTTGTTCTGAAAAGGAGTTTAATTGGATGAGATGCAGACATGAAAAATGAAGCTAAATCTTAAATATTGGCCTTTCCTTGAAGATGGTGCTTTTATCAGAATTGATGAGTATTGCGCTAGAACAATCTGAAATTTTATCCAATAGAATTATTTCTTGTTATAGGTTGATTCGAGTGCAACTAAGATTAATAGATAGGAGTAGAATAGTCTGACCTAGTAACATGAAAATAGTTATTTAGTACATGAGCATGTAAAGGATATGTTAACTGGCAGCTGCTATAGGTTATCACAATTTCAGCATTCTAACTGATCAATTCTTCTTAGTTCTGTGGATATTTATCTCTACCATTTGAAATGGTTATTAGGATTGTTAGTTTGGTTCTTCTTAGGCCCCTAAGCATTATAAAAATATTTTTAGTGCAAATAAGGGTGGTCGGTTATCTAATGACTATTAAACATAGGCTTGGTGGAGTATGCTAAGGTGAAGATTCTAATTAGATTTATTTGTAGGGTTTTATTTATTTTTTCTATCTTTTATTCTAAAAATATTCTTCTTCTTACTCTCAGAATCTTACTGGAGGTGTTTTACTTCTTCGGAACAAATATTTCATTGTCATCTATCGCGGAAAGGATTTTCTCCCTTCTTCAGTGGCAACTGCTTTGGCTGAAAGGCAGCAAATAACAAAAGATATTCAAGATTCAAGAAGTAGAAGAGAATGAAGAGAATTCACGCAGTAGTATAGCAAGACAATCCTGCACTGAGAAAAGACTTGAAGGACATGCACTAGCTGGAACTTTGGCTGAATTCCAAGAGGCTCAGGCACAATGGGGAAGAGTTATAACTGATGGTGAGCGTGATGCAATGAAACAAGAAGCTTTCAGAGTTAAAGCAGCTCGATTGTTCAAGAAGATGGAACATAAACTTTACATTGTAAGTTTTCCTTGCCTATGATGTTACCCTGACTCTTATTTTGTAGGCATGGGTTTCACTTGATTTTTTTTTTTCTTTCTTCTTAATCGATTTAAACTTCATGATGAACTTTGATATGATCTGGGATATAAATGAACAGGGTGTTTGACTAGCTACTGTGGCTCAACTCAATTAGAGTTTATTAATGATTGCTTAATTAACTAATTGAACGAGATTATATATTTTATAAATAATTAAATGTTAAATGATCAAACTTGAACACCTGATTGTTTGATTAATTTATGTTTGTGAATAATATTATTTAAACGATCAAGCTCATGTGCAAGCTTATCAAGAAGCTTGATTAAGGCGAGATATTAATTTAAAATTCAATATGAAAATACTAATAAAAATATAATCATTTAAATAAAATATAATAAATCCTAAACAAATAAAAAAATCAATTTCATCTTTTAATGGAAGGCTTCATATCAGTATAATTTAATAAAATTGCAAGTTTCACGAGAAGCTTCATACCAATTAAAAAATCAATAAATAAATCTATGGTTTTAGCTTTTTCATATTTTTTTCATGCAACATAAAATTAAGATGGCTTCACCTGAAGCTAATGTTATTTACCCATCGATGCATCTAGTTTCACATTAATGAGATTTATCAGCAATACAAAACTCTATTGGTTGAGCTCTTCACTGACCTGGGCGTGTAAGTTTTTTGACTGGCTTGGAAGGGCGGGGTTTTTATCCTTTTCTTAAAGGCTTGTATAATTAAAATTTTAATTTCTAAAATTCAATAGGATTATCTTGGACTGTTAAGGGTCAATATGCTTGTTAAATTAAAGTCATTATTTATATACATGCTTAACAAGTTGGGTTTGATAAGGTTGAACAAGCTGCTAGTTTGAAGTTCGTTAATTATAAGTTGAATGGAACTTGAGACAAGCTCAAATCAATCTTGAATAATAATGAATTTGAATGAACCATCCTCAAATAGTATTCCGGAAGCTCAAATTGAGCTCGAACTGAGCTTGAATAGATTTTAAGTAAATGAGATCTAGCAACAACCTCTTGCCTTTTGATGTTACTTGGGACTTCGATGCCTTTGACTTTATGGTGTTTAACTATTCTATCAGTATTCTTATCTTGCCTATAAGATAAATTTTCATTTTATTTGTTTGGATGCAAGTTAGATTTTCTAAATCGAGATTTATAAATTCTTGTGATTTTATGTGTAAAATGATTTGGTAATTAGTATCCATAATTCGAGTTAATTTTTCAATCTATTTGAGAGTACTATGTCGAGGGCAGTAAATGAGTTTTTTTGAGTAACCGTAAATATAGTGATAAAAATAACTTGGGATTCCTCATTGTTCAATTAGTCCAATTAAGAATTATTTACATTTTTGTTAGATTTATCATATACGCATGAAATTATGATTAGATGTGACCGAACTTGTTATTTAATGATTAGGATGTTAAACTGAGATTGTTAGGGATTAGTGGATTTAACTAGTGTACTTTTATTATGATTTTTACTAATTAATTATTTAGACTATAATCATGGTTAATTAGGTATATTTAAATTTGACATGGGACAGACTAGGACAGAGTAATATGCCATATATAGTCAAAACAGATCAAGAGCATCGATTAAGAAAATTATAATTTCTTACATGATGGTACTCTAGGCTTTAGAAAAAAAAACTTCACTATAGATTCATATCTCTACATTTTAGAACTATATGCATCATAAGAGAAATTAAATCTCTCATTGTATCAATCAGAATGATGATGAACTTGATACTTGGGAATGCATCAACTTGCCCTATGACAATTAGTAAGAATCGCAGCCCAAATCAATTGTACGAAGCTTCCTCTTCAAATCTTTCTCCTATGCTTGCATGTATTTTGTATCTTCAATATTTTGTGTTAGTACCCAACTCACAATAGTACATCATTTCTATTTGGGACTCTGAAATGTACATCTTCTTTGTAAAGTTCTAGAAGATTTTGTAGTATATAGTCAAAACAGATCAAGAGCATCAATTAAGAAAATTGTAACTTCTTACATGATGGTTCTCTAGGCTTTAGAAAAAAAAAAAAAACTTCACTATAGATTCGTATCTCTACATTTTAGAACTATATGATTCATAGGAGAAATTAAATTTCTCGTTGTATCAATCAGAATGATGATGCAATTGATGCTTGGGAATGCATCAACTTGCTTTATGACAATTAGTAAGAATAGCTGCCCAAATCAATTGCACGAAGCTTTCCCTTCAAATCTTTCTCCTATGTTTTACATGTATTATTGTATCATCAATATCTTGTCAGTACCCATCTCACAATAGTACATTTATATTTGAGACTTTGAAATGTACATCCTCTTTGTAAATTTCTAGAAGATTGTGTAGTATATGACAGCACAATTTCTTCGAACCGACAGCTCTTTTTTGGGTATATGCTAGTGTGCAATGATAAAAGTCCTTTGCACCCAATTTTTTAGTTCTTTCTACAGGAGTATCTTCATTGTGCGTTTCTTAGGTATTCACTCAAGTGAAAGTGAATTGTTTGCAAGTGCCAGGAATTTGATCATGTTCACATAACATGCTAAAAACTACTTGCAAATTGGTACAAAGAAATCATCCTCTCAAATGTTCCACTTGAAAACCTGTATATCACATATCCAACCTTCCCAATTTAGAAGATTTGTACATGAACAATTGATTAAGTGTTTTCAGTACAATTATATACTTCATCCCATTCTTATATTGATTATGTATTTTATGGGAAACAATAATAAGTGCATTAGTGTAGAATATTTGGAGAACAAAAAAAATTATTCATTCTCCTTTTCATATAGACCGATTACAAGCTAAATAGAGGGGGATGACTCCCACTTTAGGAAAGCAATAAAGTCAGCCATAACTCCCCATAATAAAAAAGGAAACCAGAAATATGATATACCAATAATTTTGAATCATAATAAAATAAATATTAACAATAGAAGATATTTAAATTAACATTTACAAAAAGATCCAACACCCCCTCAAGTTGGAGAATAAATAACTATCATGCCCAACTTGCTTACAAGGAACTTAAAATTAGGCCTGAAAAGTCCTTGGTGAAGATATCTGTTATTTATTCTGTTGTCATAGTGAAAGGCATGCAAATTGCTTCACAATCAATCTTCTCTTTTATAAATTATCCATCAATCTTCACGTGTTCTGTGCGATCATGTTGCACGGGATTCTCCGCAATGCTTATGGTAGCTTTATAGTCATAATACAACTTCATCTGCATGCTTATAAGCATTCGTATCTTTTCAAGAATTCTCATCAACCATCCCACATACTCCATTAGCCATAGCTCCATATTTTGCTTTGGCACTACTCCTTGTCACAACATTTTGTTTTTTATTGTGCAATGTAATCAAATTTCCCATACATGAGCACAATATCCAGACGTCGATCTTCTGTCAACAATTGAGCCCGCCTAGTCTGCATCTCTATGTTATGCTATGTGATCTTTTGAAAAAGTAAACCTTCACTTGTTGTACTTTTTAGGTATCTGAGAATCTTGTTAACCGCTTCAAGATGTTTCTTAGAAGGCGAATGCATAAATTAACTTACACTTACAACAAAGGCGCTATATGACCTTTTATGTGACACGTATATCAACTTTTCTACTAAATTTTGATATCAAGTTGTATTCATCAGGTCGCCCTCCTCATCTCCTAGTTTCTGATTCGGATTAATTGGAGTGTTTGTGGGCGTGCAACAACTCATCCCGATTTTCTTTAGAAGATCAAGAACATATTTACCATTGGGAAACAACCCCTTTCTTTAATTTATCAACCTCCATGCTAAAAAAATAGCTCAGAGATTTTAAGTCATTAGTCTTAAAAATGATGAGAGGGAAGTCTTCAACTGGTTCATTTGATATACGTCATCTTCGGTGAGAATTGTATTGTCCACATTTACAGTATGATTATCTTCCCATTCTTTGAATGTTTGAAGAATATTTTATGATCTCGTTACTTTTGAGTCTATCCCTAACCATTAACAAATGTTATAAATTTCTAATATCATGCTCTAAGTGACTTCTTCAACTTGTACCAGGACTTTTTTAGTTTACATAATTTTGTGTCGAACTTCTCACTAAATTCTAGAGGTGCATTCATATACATTTCTTACTTTGAGCCCCCATTGAGAGATGTTTTTTTATGCATAACTATTGTAAGGGTTAGTTAAAGTTAGCTGTAAGTGGCAGAAAAACTCTTATAGAGTTTAGTTTTGTAACTGGGGTGAATGTCTCTAAGTAATCAATATCTTAAGTATTAGTGAATCCCTTGGTAACCAGTGAAAACTTATATTGTTCTAGAGTGCCATTAGAGTTATACTTGTTTGTAAATATCGATTTGCATTTGACAATTTTTTTTCCCTCTAGGTAGATCAATCGATTCCCAAGTGCTATTTTCTCTAGAGCTTTCATCTCATTGAAGAGACTCTTTCCACTTAGGAATTTTCAAATCATTCTACATAGTATTAGAAATTTTCATACAAGACAAATGCTTGATAAAAGACCGAAAAATAGATGAGAGATTTTCATATGACACATAATAAGACAATTGGTGTTGGGTGCAACACCTCTCTCCCTTGTAAGCAGCATGGGATGGCTGGAATCATTAAATTTCGAATTAGGGCTAGACTCTGGTTCAGGACTAAAGGACTCACAACTTGAAGATCAAGTGGACTGATCATGAGGTAAAATTTCAATGAAGACAGTACTTGAAGGATTCATGGATTATGTGCAATTCAAATGATTTGTTGACTCTTTCTTTTGAGTTATTTTTTTGTTGCGATTAGACAATGTCAAATAATACCAATGTCATAGTTCTTTTTCTTGTTCTCTTTGTTAGTTATAGACTATGAACATCATGAGATGACAATGTAGGAAGATCGAAATTGTCTTTAATATCTAAAAAACTAGACTCGCTTTCTC